ATGTATGTTTATTATAATCATACACGTTGATATATTAGCTTAGAGTTGTGTTAGATTATGCTTTGGGTAAATTAAAAGTATGGGTTGGTTTTGCTTTCAACGTTGTATAAGGGGGGTCGTCCTTAAATGACGTCACACTCGTATGGGGGCGGGGGCCGTAATTTTGTGATGAGGGGAGGGGGGGTCAGATTGTGACGTCACCTTTTTGCATTATAAAAAAAAGCAATTTTAGAAAACGAGTTTTAGCCGATATTTCGTATTTTAGAAAACTTTTAATAAATTGTAATAGGAATTGATCAAAATACTCTATGTTGACAGAGTTCTGACAAGAATTTGGAAAAATATCGATGTTTTAAGAAAAATTCAACATCAATTATGAAGGGGGTTGTAGGCTGAGGAGTGACGTCATTTTAGGGGGTTGGAGGTCTGGCTTTTTGTGACGACGTGTGGTGGAGGGGGGGGGGGGGTAAAAATGTCATTAAAAAGCGTGACGTTATTTATGTATGACCCCTAAGTCGTTTAGTTTCTCTTAGTTTCAGAAAACGATTGAGATAATTTAATTTATTGTTGTTTTTTGTTTTTCACGTTTATGCATGATTTGGCTTAGGTCAATATTTGGTCACAAAAGCGGGAAAAAGACTTTTTGCCAGTTGTTAAAAATGTAACTTATGAATTCATTGAAACACATACGATTTAGAAACAAAATGAGCAAAACATTATTTTATTTCGTCATCCATTTATTAAGTATTTCGCTTTGATCTAGGCCCTTCTTCTGTTCTCAATCTACCTTTGTAATTAGTACGTAGCAAACATCACAAATACATCATATTCTTGTCCAATGTTTCTTTTTTTCTCAAGAAGGGCACTTGATATTTTCGGGAGGGGGGGGGGGGCGGACACTGGTAAAAGTAAGTTTTCTATATAAATTCCGTTTCATTGGGGGGGGGGGGGGGAGCGGTAGACTTTCTTCGGGGGGGGGGGGGGGGGAGATGCCTGGAAGCAGTGTTTCTTTTCCAGACTTTTTTTCTCCAGGGGTGCACTTGAATTTTTTTTTGTGGGGGGGGGGGGGGGCGGACAACAATTTCCGGGGGGGGGGGGGCGGACACTGTCGAAAGTATATATTTTCTATATAAATTCCATTTTGTTCGGGGGGGGGGGCGGTGAAAGAGATGCCTAGAAGAAACTCTGCCTGGAAGAAACTTTGTTCTTGTATTTGTTCTCTCTGAAATTGATTAAACCATCATAAAGAAGTCGCATCCCACCTTGCCGAGCTTTGACTTACGTTGGTATTGTTTTCTGTACTATTGTCATCGTGGATTCTGGGGCTAATCGCTTAAAGTTTGTCAATATTAGTAAATGAGGCTGACCAGGCGAAATATTGTTTTTCTCTGGGTCATGAGTAAACCTTTTCTTCGTCAGATTCTTGTATCTTACCTTGCACCAGAGTGGATGTATTTGAGAAAGTTGGCATTGGAGTACCTCAGTCTTTTAGAGCGGCAAATAGATTGCGGGGGTGAACATGTACAACACTATTTTAGTTAACGAGTAATATACTTGACGTGTAACTAACTAGTACCTACTTATAGTTCATGAAGTCTAGATCGGTGTTAGAGCCAGAAAGTATTTTATTACCGGTTTACTAACAAACATTAGGGTACTCTTGTAAATTCCCTAAATCTGACATCCTCACCTACTTCTGTAATAAAGGTGATCCACCTCCTCCAAGCAAAAGTTTGAAATTAATCTGATTAATCCTGTCATAAATGAAGCTCTCGTTGTTCATGAAGCGCCGTAACTAGCATCCCTTTCTGATATTAGACACTTGCCCTAACCCCCCCTCCCCCATAAACCTCTCGTACATAAAAACCACACTGGTATATTAATCCTTTGCTTTTTATTAAGCACCTGTCAGTGTCATCAAGCATACATATCTTTCAACATATTACAGCTCAATTAGTTGTACAAGTCCATGTAGTACTTTCAAGCCTATTTACTAGTGATTGCGACATTGTCGCCTGTGCTGGTATACTACATTTTAAAAAGCTTGTCAGTGGGATATATATACACTTTGCTACAGAGGCGTAGCGAGGGCGTGGCGTGCGAACTAGCGACGTCACTGCTTTGCTATACTTTAATGTATGTGTTAACTATATATATATGAAGATTGATAATGTGCATAATTATTTTTTTTTTAACCTTCCAATACAGATGCATAAAAATATGCAATTTGCAATTCTCTTGAATTACTTTTACTAATACTAGTGTAAATCATAGTAAATGCTAGACATGTTTACTTCACTGTGAGATGAATGCCCTTCCCCCCTCCCACTTCAAGAAAATTACAGGTACACAAACTGGCTACTTAAATTTATACTGTAACATGACATTGAACTACACAAAAAAAACAAGAAGCGATAGTTTACTTGTTTAAAATTTTTATTCACATTAAAAGAATACTTTTGATGCTACAATTAAGTAATAGATCATATAGGTTACAAGTGGACAAGTAAGTAGATAGATAATAAATCAATATTATCAGATTTCAGTATGCTCAATAACTAGACAAAATGGAATCAATACATACAACCTCCACGATAAATAAAAATTTGATGGCAACAGACTATCTCTAATCCACATCTTAATCTAACAAGTTTGTAATATTATATGACTGTGTGTAACTAGACCTTAGTTTCACACACAAACATAAATATATTTATATATATATATATATATATATATATATATATATATATATATATATATATATATATATATATATATATATATATAGAGAGAGAGAGAGAGAGAGAGAGAGAGAGAGAGAGAGAGAGAGAGAGAGAGAGAGAGAGAGAGAGAGAGAGAGAGATAGATACACATATTTATAAACAAATACTGCGTAGCAGAATATCTCTACATGAAAGCCAACCTGGTGAAAAAAATTGAATTTGCACATTCAATCGCTAAGAAATTCAGCAATAGTATCCAACACCTCTACAAAGACTCCAACTGCCAGATTATCCACAAGTTAACCAGCCCTTTTTCAGTGAGTACAGAAATGTTATAAGCTTTTCACCAATAAAGTACATCAGACCAAAAGGTTGAAATACAGTGGACCCTCACTTAGCTGGAGGTCTAGATATTGAGGATGCTATACTCTCACATTGACAACATGCCCAATCCACGCTAAGCAAACTATGATGAACCTTCTTAATATAGGCTTAATGATCAACTGGAAAAAACAGAAGAGATAAGAATCAACAACAAACAGGAGTTCCACTTAGGATACAAGAAATGAATATTTTGGAGCAGGATCGCTTCACACATCTAGGATCTGTTGTAAGAAGATGGGGGAGCAGATGAGGACATCAAAAGACAATGGATGTCAAGAGCTGTCTACAGTTTTCCAAATATGACTGTTGAACAGCAATGTAAAATTTGTTCTCCTCTATGGTTCTGAGACTTTCAATAATGAATGGCTGTGTAGCAAACTGAACATCAGGTGGCCTGAAAAAATAACCAACTGTGAGGTTCTAACATCCATCTTGAAGAGACGGCTGGTAAATCCTGGGAAACAAAAAATACACATTTTGTAAGAAAATAAAGACAACTGTTTAATCTTTAAAGAGACGCCCTCCAACAGTTGCTGTTATGGTGACATATTAAAACTGGAATATCTTGAGTGTGGAAATTGTACTAAAATAAAGATTGTCTACAAAGGTCTACCCTTTATTTCAAACATTTGTTTGACAATGTGGCTTTGGCAAACATGCTGACTGATATAGCACACATTTTGAATTAACAGTAAGATATCTGAGTTTTTTACATTTAGAATCAATAGTGCCCACATATTAGTTCATGTATGAAAATATCTTTTTGAGTTTAGTTCAACTCATATATAGCCCTACTAAATATTAAAATAAAATAGCATCAAACATTTTTTTTAGTTACCAGTTATACTATGATAGCACCTTCCAGCAAGATTTCACTGTTTTATTAATACAGGTTCGCTGCAGACAAACAAAATGTTTTGGTTAACAAAATTAAAAATATCTGTATCACATCACTTAAGTTTATTTAGCCTGCCGGTCCATGGGGCAAGTGCAGTAGAGATAAGCTGTTTCTGTGACCAGCATATGAAGGGATAGTGTGGTCAGCACCATGCCCAGTCTCCTTTACTTTTCCTAACGTGAGTTAGGTACCTATCAGAGCAGCTGGGTGGACTCAGGGAAGTTCTGCTGACTTGAATCCAGATTCAAACTTGAGACTTTGGGTTATACAGTCTTGCTCCATAGCTAAGCCACACCATCACCTTACAAAATTTGCTTTAAATCAAATGTTTGCACCCCACTTCTCATTGGGAAGTACATTGCAGTACAGTTGGTGCTTGTTTAGTGTAACCTTAAATTCACAATGATAAATAAACAAATGATTTATAAAATATAACTATATACAAATAATACAGTGTATGTGAGTAGCAGAACATTGGATAACTAACCTGATAGTCTCAAGTTCTAATAATGGGCTCTAGTAACTGGTTGGGAAAATAAAGGTGGCTGAGCATTGTATTGAACTTGACTACACTATCCCTTCCTATGCCAAAGTCAGAGAAACTCATGATCTCTCCATCTGTCCCAATGGACCTGAAAGAAAGCTTATATGTACAAATAAAAAAAAATTAACAAAATACAATCACAACAGTTCAGCTCTACATAATGGTTTTTAATTTATCATTTAGCTTTATTATTCAGTGTTACATTTTTTAATGCAATTAGTATACCAACAAAAGTCTGTACAATAAATTTCACCTTTAATTAAATCAGATTGGAAATTCTTTCATATTTACAATCATACCTGGTTTGTTTCAACCTATCACAGCACTTGGTTTTATTTTTTACTGTAATCATAAACCCATAAGCACAAAACACCTGCAAAACAATGACAAGATCAGTTTACTTTATTATACTACAGTATAAATGGTACTTAAAAGTGATACTAATAATATTACTAATATCTTAATTTAGTTTACACTCTTAAATGGAATACTTAAAATTTAGAATGTAGCATAGTCCTCCACCCCACAGAAGTCACATAAAGGGATCTGAACAATTAACTCTTAAAGTAACATACATGGTAGTACTCTAGCCACTTGAATACAGAGGGTTGTAAATCAGTTGATTGCAGTGTTCTAAAACATTGTTGGTATCTTTGTCCCTGTGTCTGTCTTATTCCTGTCTCCATGTTGAGAGAACCTGAAGATTAAAGTTTTGAAATTAGTAAAAATTTAAATAAAGTGCTTAGTCTAAGGCCCAATGGCATCGCTAGATCGGGTGTCACCCAAGTAACGAGGTTTATCTTTAGTCTGTTAATAATACAGTTGGAACTTGGATGTAGCAATGTTTTCTCTATAGTCTATAGTTAGTACCTTTACGACATGGTATCACCCCCACCCTCTGGTAATAATTGTCAATTTGTACTTAGGCCTAAAAGACTATTTAACTTTAATTAATCATTAATGGGGCTGGCAAAACAACATTTTTCTTCTGTATATTTTGCAATTTTTTGCCTTGGTGTCACCCCTTTCTTAAAATAGTGTCATCTGGTGCAGTCTGCACCCCCCACCCGTGCTATGCCAGCTAAGGCAAGGGTTATCAATAAAAATGTTATAAATAAAAAAAATATATTAATAAATTTATAATAAGCATAATTAGGTAATTATTAGTAATTAATTATTAATAATGTAATATTAATTATAATTATTAGGCCTAATTAAAAATTAATAATAAAATACGCTCAACTGGAGGTGAACGTGAAACGGGGAATAAAATACGTTAAAATAGAGTTTTACCCCTTCTAGATGTAGATCTAATTATTGTGTAATTTACTAATCAGTGCCAAGATCTATTTTATTTTCTACAAAAGATCTTGATATTTCCCACCAAATCGATTAATTATGTTTTCTTAATAGTTATTTAAATAGTATATAATTTATTTTCTCCTTTTTAGTGCATTATTACATAAAAGCTTATTAAAAGGTTTTTTTATGAAATTTTCTTCTGTTAAAACACTTAGTTTGTTTATCATTTCTGAGCATTGGTCAAAAAAGGCCGAGTAAACATTGATCTTGGCCCGGTCGAGAAAAAAGGCCGTTTTCTTCGTTAACAACGCACCACCAAGTTTTTCTAAATTGATGTTAGCAAGTTTTAGAGGCTTGATAGTAGAGTAAAATAAATAAAACACTTCAGCACCATATTTTTAAAAACTATTTATAGTTCGCCAGTTTAAGTTAATTATTGAATTAAGGTAGCAATAATTAGTTTCCGCATA